CACGCAAAGAAAGAAGGTGTGGTTTCAGTAACCGCAGTTAGTGTTGAAGCAGCATGTCAGGGAGACGCTGTGTGTTTCTAGGCGAAAGCAAAAGCACTTTATTTGGCCTTCCGGAAGTAGATGCATTTAGGAATCTTTAAGATTACTTACAACAGAACAGCAATGCATTTTATGGACGACCGTTTCGTGAACCTAGGAGAGGAGGTCATTCTGACTTTGCTATGACAATCTGGTGCTTCTGAATCAGCTACTGTTTTGTTATTAGTTTAAGTATTTGCTATTGACTGTTCAAATGAGGAGTTTTGCGCATTGTGTGTGTGTGTGTGTGTATGTGTGCGCGTGTGTGTGTGTGAGAGAGACAGAGACAGACAGGGTCACATCACAGTGGAGTCAGCTGTCTTAACCGTGGCTTTTGTAATGCACACATACCAGCTTTCTCACTGTTTCTGTCACGCGACGACTCTGTTCCCCTTTCGGGCTCTGTCTTTACATTTATTTTGAAAGATGAAGCTTGTGATTATTGAAAGATGCGTTATATTTCCGACGAGTGCTTGCGGTGTTCGGCCAATCACAATGCACTGGGTCAGCTGGCCAATCAGAGCAGACTGCGCTTGTCGGAAGGAGGGACTTTGTAGAAAACGAAGCGTTTGATGCTAAATGCCTTTAGCCATCCAGAAACCTACGCAGCTCTTATCAGGATGTGTGACGTGATAGTGTTGTGATCGTAGCTAATCGTTATAAACACTCTTTTTGACAATACACATTTTATGCCCGCAAAATGTTTCTTGTGTGATGTTGACTGTTCAAATGAGGAGTTTTGCGCATTGTGTGTGTGTGTGTGTGTATGTGCGCGCATGTGTGTGTGTGTGAGAGAGACCTATCATACTTTTAGTTTTTGGTGAATTTGTGAGTTTTAATGTGTTTGAAAGACAAAAGCCTGCCAAAGACAATGAGTTGTGTGGATATTATGTAATCATGGAATCAATAAAAAAAGTAACTGTAGTCTGATTACAAGTATTTTGAAATGTAATGCAATCTAATTACAAGTACTCGATTGATGGAATCTGATTACATGTAATCAGTTACTACCCAGCACTGATCTCAAACTTATATAGACCATAAGCTTCAAGGTTTATGGTCTCAATTTGTATAAATTTTAACCTATAATCTCGATGTTAAAAACACGTCCTGTCCATTTACACCATAGCGTTGTATCTGAAACAGTTGGTTTAATGGCTTTTGCTCCTGACCATCAGGTTGGCGAGTTATTTCCTGGCCACATGGGGCTTTTGTTTACTGCTGTTGAGTGTGTGTGTACTCTGTCCCCCTTTCGGGCTCTGTCTTTACATTTATTTTGAAAGATGAAGCTTGTGATTATTGAAAGATGCGTTATATTTCCGACAAGTGCTTGCGGTGTTCGGCCAATCACAATGCACTGGGTCAGCTGGCCAATCAGAGCAGACTGCGCTTGTCGGAAGGAGGGACTTTGTAGAAAACGAAGCGTTTGATGCTAAATGCCTTTAGCCATCCAGAAACCTACGCAGCTCTTATCAGGATGTGTGACGTGATAGGGTTGTGATCGTAGCTAATCGTTATAAACACTCTTTTTGACAATACACATTTTATGCCCGCAAAATATTTCTTGTGTGATTATCATACTTTTAGTTTTTGGTGAATTTGTGAGTTTTAATGTGTTTGAAAGACAAAAGCCTGCCAAAGACAATGAGTTGTGTGGATATTATGTAATCATGGAATCAATAAAAAAAGTAACTGTAGTCTGATTACAAGTATTTTGAAATGTAATGCAATCTAATTACAAGTACTCGATTGATGGAATCTGATTACATGTAATCAGTTACTACCCAGCACTGATCTCAAACTTATATAGACCATAAGCTTCAAGGTTTATGGTCTCAATTTGTATAAATTTTAACCTATAATCTCGATGTTAAAAACACGTCCTGTCCATTTACACCATAGCGTTGTATCTGAAACAGTTGGTTTAATGGCCTGACCACCTGACCATCAGGTTGGCGAGTTATTTCCTGGCCACATGGGGCTTTTGTTTACTGCTGTTGAGTGTGTGTGTGTGTGTGTGTGTGTGTGTGTTGTGCACCAGCTCCTGAACTCCTGCCATCCAATCGGCTTCATCCTGCACAGGCGTGTGTGTGTGTGTGTGTGTGTGTGTGTGTGTGTGTGTGTTGTGCACCAGCTCTTGAACTCCTGCCATCCAATCGGCTTCATCCTGCACAGGCATCACTTCCTTCCCAAAGGCTACTCCAGTCAATCTGTGTATTCATCAAAGTGTGTGTATCTGCAGTGGTCCTATCCGGATCCCCACTGCTAAAATCCCACCTCCCCCCGACTCGGTCCTCCCAGCTGACCCACCCATCCCCCCCTTCTCTCACACACCCGTGCCACATGAGGCCCTGCAGTGTGACTCAGTGGACAAACTTACACCAGTCTGAGAGTCTGGGTCAGGCTTTCCCAAGCCGCACACCTCATTTTGCCTGCGCAGGAGACACCAGTGGTTAGTCTTTCCCATTCTGTAATGTTAATAGCGCATTTGGTTGTTTTCTTGTGATTGCTCTTGCTGTAAGCCTGTCATTTCTTTACTCCTTCTTAAGTAGGGCTTCGTCATACTGCAGTGCAGCACTGTTAGAGCTCTCAGTGCGCGAGCGTACGTGCTACATGCTGAGTTTGTGGTTTTCGATTTGAGCGTGCTGGCCTTGAGCACTTGCTACAAGTATGTTGTTTCCTTATTAATGGCTACGGATGTGGTGAAGTTTGTGCTTAAGGGTGTTTGTTTGTGTAGAGGTGCTTGCAGTTTTTTTTTGTGCATGCGGGTGTAGCTGGAATTGTAACAGAGGTGTTGATGATACATGAACCTTTCATTATCAATGGCTACACAAATATCGTAAAGTTTGCTTTGCCAGACTTTGACCTCAGTTGTATTGAGTTTGTTTCTCTGTGGGTCTCTATGTACGTTTTAATGATTTTATTCTAATGAACTAAATAGCAATTAAAAGCTGTCTTTAGTAGCGTCTTTAGACACATGGTGTTTCACCCAATGGGTAGGCAACAATACAGAGCACTCAGCCTTTTACGAGTGGTCCTTATAATGTCTGGTTTATGTGTGTAATAGGCTTGATTGATGATCAGTTTTACCTTCTTTGTGATGAATGAGCTTAAAAGGTGAGTTCATGCAATGCAAGATCAGCATTCTTAAGGGGCTTTTATACTGACCGCTAATTGGAGCTACAAAGCATTCATTTTCAATGAGACTTCCCTATTTGAGTTCATATTTTTCAAATGTTCAGTGACTATCAGTGGAAAGCTGTAAGAATGTTTGCATCCATTATTATGGAGCGTTCATGTAATCAAGCTAGTATTGTTATTGTAATGTGTTTAAAAGTGTTAAATAATTGAGATAAAGCTGAAAACCGCTAATTGGAGCTACAAAGCATTCATTTTCAATGAGACTTCCCTATTTGAGTTCATATTTTTCAAATGTTCAGTGACTATCAGTAGAAAGCTGTAAGAATGTTTGCATCCATTATTATGGAGCGTTCATGTAATCAAGCTAGTATTGTTATTGTAATGTGTTTAAAAGTGTTAAATAATTGAGATAAAGCTGAAATGTGTGTATGTGTGTGTGTGTGTGTGTGTGTATATATATATATATATGTATACTATTATAGTATATAGTTCATAGTAAAACTAACTGAAATAAGTTTTTTTCAGCCAATATATATATTGACTGAAAAAACTTATTTCAGTTAGTTTTCAAGGCAAAATTTATCATTTTGTTTTTTAGAGTTTGAGTTGAAGTACTAAAACTGAAATAAAAAATTAAAGCTGAATAAAATATTGATAATAATAATAAAACAAATATGTAAAAAAAATATAAATAAACCACAAATTCACTATTAACTAATACTATAATAGTGTACAAATAATATTAAAATAACACTGAATCAAGCTACAGTATTTTGTCCAAGTGCATATGACAGAATTCACAATTACATTTTTTTTTGTGGCATTTTTATTTTGATAGGACAGTATAGCAGAGACAAGAAGCGAAGTAGGTGAGAGAGAGAGGGGGGCGGGATCGGTAAAGGTCCACGAGCCGGGACTCGAACTCGGGACGCCCAGAGCGCAACGGCACTATATGCATAAATACACAATTGCATATTTTAAAGGTTAAATACATGTGTGCATCCCCATCACACGTTCATATTGCATTTCATTTGAAATGTTTAACTTCCTGTTTAACTTCCTCTATTTTTCTTTTAGACATCCCTGCTATGGCAAATTCCCTGAAGGCAAATGTAACACTGAAGGCAGAGAAGGAGATCAGAGAGGAGAAAGCGGGAGCTAAAGAAATGGATGACACCTTGGATGAGCCTGCAGAGGAGGAAGAGGATGAAGAGGAGAGAAAGGCACGGGAGGCAGCAGCCAGAGAGAGAGCCGCTCAGAGGCAGCTCATGGCGATAGAGGAGCTGGTGCAGACAGAGAGGAACTACCTGAAACATCTGCAGCTCTGTACGGTCACCATCCACAACAACCTGCAGAAACTACAGGTAGACAAGTTCTCTAGCAGCCATTTTCAAACATTACATTGTTTTAAATTGCAGTAAAAGTCCTGATTTATCTTGTATGGTGACACGTGTTATTCTTAAGACCAACAGCTTTCTGTTTTACATGTATTGCATCTATCACCACTGAAATACCATTAAAGCACTCTGAAATAATTCTTATATTAATATAAACATTAACAATCTAATCAGATAATACAACAGTTAGTTCTGTTAAAGCTGTATTTAACACATGGCCTCTAAACTGAAAAATGCAATTAATTTTCAGCAAACCTGCCATGTGTATTTTTTTTTTTTTCAAATTAAATGTTCTTTTCATTTTAGAAACATTAACATCAAATAATTTGGTTCTTACATTACGTACAGGTCACAAATATTAACAGACATCATAAAAAACCAAGCAAACTTGTACTGTATATCAAACAATGTGCAAAAAGGTAGTATTTAAAGAAAATGACAAATAAAAAATAATGATGACAACAACATATTAAAAGAACAATCAAAAAAAAATGTAATATTATTATTTGAATCCATCTGAAAGGAATGAGAAATAAAACAGAAATAATGTTGTTGTTTTTTTTTATTATAATTATATTATTATTATTGAGTGTATACCTCATAAATGGGACTAAATGATTTAGCTTTGATAATATCATATTATTTGGGACTCTTGCAGCCTCCTCCCCCAAACCTGGAGAACATGTTTCAGCACATAGATGAAGTGATGGATGTTTCCAGCAGACTCCTGAGCTTCCTCGACCAGACACGGATACATCACAGCGACCCGAAATACCTGGAAACTCTCTGTGAGTACAGCCGGACAGGCTGGAATTTCTGGTTCACTTTCAGTTTACTTGTCACATTGTCCATGTGTCATGCCCACCCACAGGTCAAAATATTTTTACCTGTGAGCTCATGAGTGAAGAATCCAGAACTTGAATTTCAAGATGGGAATGATGATGTATAGAATGTTTCAATTTGTGTCCTTTTTAGAACTTGACAGTCTAAATAACCATACACTTACACTACTGTTCAGAAGTTTGGGGTTTGTAAGATTTAAAAAAAAAAAAAAAAAAGTTTTTGAAAGAAGTCTCTTATGCTCACTAAGGCTGCATTTATTTGAACAAAATACAGTAAAAACAGTAATATTTTGAAATATTATTAAAATATTTAAATAGATGGTTTCTATTTGAATATATTTTAAAATGTAATTTATTCCTGTGATCAAAGCTGAATTTTCAGCATCATTACTCCAGTCTTCAGTGTCACATGATCCTTCAGAAATCATTCTAATATGCTGATTTACTGCTCAATAAAAATGTATGATTGTTTTCAATGTTGAAAGCAGTTGTGCTGCTCAATTTGTTTTTCCCAAGATTTTTTTTAAAGGAATGACAACTTTAAAAGTTCAGAAGAACAACATTTATTTGAAATAAATTGTTTAACATTATAAATGTATTTATTGTTGCTTTTGATCAATTTAATGTGTCCTTGCTGAATAATAATAATTTTTTTAAACACTGACCTCAGACTTTTGAACAGCAGCGTATGTTGTTTAGAAAAGATGTAAATCTTGTTGTATATTATAAATTATCTTATTCTTTCTCAGGTGACACTTTTCTGAGTCTGTCTCAAGATATAGAGATGGCTTATAAAGAGTATCTTGCCAACTACAACAACATCACTGCTCTAGAGAACAGCTACAAACAGAAAGAGGCGCTGTGGGTGGAAATGATCCGAAGTGTCAAGTCCTCTGCGTAAGTTCATAAACAACAACTTACCAAGGTTGTGTATAAATTGAACACTGTGGAGAGCAAAATCAACACCATTGAGTGTGTTACCCAACAATCCTGTCGTTTTTTATCCCTAATCTTGTCTGTCTTCAGTCCTGATGTGAATGCATCCACTCTGAGCTTCTTCCTGGTGATGCCAGTTCAGAGGATCGCCCGTTACCCACTGCTGCTCCAGACCATCCAGAAACACACAGACCCCGGGCACCCTGCCTACCCAAAACTGGAGCACACCGCTCACACTGCGGTCCAGATCAACTGCAGGATCAATGAATATAAACGCTTCCGTGAAGTCGGTGAGAACATGCCTATCCATCAGCATAGAGACATGAATAAAGTTGAGGTGAGTCGATTTGCATCATTATTCTCGTTCTCTGACTGTCACAGCTGATAAATACAAGAAGACAGAGAACCTGACCATCAAGGACAAGATCAATCGGCTGAGTGGCCACAGCATTGCCAAGAAGACGGCCCGGTTCAGCCAGTACATAAAGCATGAGACAGGAATGGTGCCAAAGGTGACTGCCTAAGAACAATGCTTAGTGTAAACAAAGGAACAGAAATGTTTGGCATGTTGAAAGAACCACATTGATTCCACAAAGCCTCAGACACTATTGTTACATGAAATATTTGTACAATTATTTCTCAATTTATACTTTGTAATTCTATCCCATCATAGTTAAAGGATGAAGAATTTGATGCCCTTGCTGGCTTCTTCTTCGTCCTGGAGAGGGCCGTCTCAGAGCTTCATGATAACCTGGAGGCCTATCTCCACCATCTGCAGGTTTGGATTTAGCGTTCTTACTCTTAATGAGTATAGTTAAAAACTTAAATGAGAGGAGCAGCTCTTTTTGTTTTGGTGTTCCCTCAGTGTGAAGCCAGTATGCCTGTGGATCAACCTCTTAAACATTTTCCATTGTTATTCCAGCTGCTTAATGAAAGGAAAATCTGTAGGAGGGTTGATCCCAGGGCAGATGGATGGGGTTACTGAAGATTGTGAGGTTCAGATGATGGTTGCGCACTTGAAGTGTTTGTAAAGATTTATTTAACCATCTGAGCTCTGTTTCTGTGTACAGAGGTTCCTCAGCTGCAGACCAGAGGAAGCAGATCTTGATCTGGAAGGAGAGAAAACCACCTTGTTCTCTAAAGAAATCACAGTGGCACTCAGACAGTGGATCTACCCCTCATATGTAAGACCTTCACTATTGTTAGTGATAAGGTTGCAGTTCTATTGGCCGATTAAAGGTGCTGTGAGCAATTTCTGAGAAAAGTTGATTGAACCAAGCACAGAAACACACTTTTAGCCAATCACCAATAAGGGGCGTGTCCACTCGTGATGGGGGAGGTGCCTGTGTTGCATATCATGTTTGTGAATTAGGGGGTGGAGCTATCAAGATAGGGGTGTGATCCATTTGGGTAGGGCGTGTTTGATTTGTTCATTTAAAATATCAACAACATTTCTCATAAATCGCTTACTGCACCTTTAAGATTTCTTGGGAATAATTTAAAATCCTGACCATAACCCAGCTCTAGGCTTCACAGCTTTTCCAACAAAATGAGTATAAGACTTTAGTTATATAATATGGTGTGAATGAAACAAGGCTGTGAGTGACAGAATATCAGTCGACCCTTTGCAATGGCCCGCCCCCCTTAGTTACTGTTGCTACGTTCAACAAGCTAAGGCGCTCTCATGCCACACATCATGTTCTCACACAGTAAAAAATACATTGCGGAGCAAAGAAGAAACTAACAACGTGCTGATAGACAAGACAGAGCAGGTTACTTTTGGTATGAAACAAAGTCTCAGCTTTCAATTTTTTTTAAAGAAATTTAAACAATAAATACCGTTTTGAGTCTTTAATGTTTCATGACCGATTAATGTTGCACCTCAGTTCAAGTGGCACATGAACCCATCATCTCTTCCTATTTACTAGTTATGCAATGAAATGAATGAACATCAGAAGGTACCTTGTTTTAACACGGAAGGGCGTCAATACACCATTTTTCAAGTTCAAGTCCACCGATGTTAATTTACTCTCCTGACTGGTTTGTTGGACAAATTGTCAGATTCGGTGTTATGATTGGTCAGATCACCTGTCAATCAAACTCCTGGCGAAATGTCAATTCATTTATTTTTTTTGTGTAATGTAATTTTGTAGGCCAGCCTGTAAATTAGGATGAAACCTGGTTCCCTTGACAAAAAGGATTATTGCAGAAAATAAGCTCTGTGACCAACAAACATTTGTGATATGTACATGTTTTGTGTGATTTTAAACACTGTGAGGCTGTAAAAACAGACTAGTGGGTAGATGAGTTTACTTGTTTGCTGTGATGATGTTTGATGTCCCCAACAACCTCTTTCCCTCTAGCCCCATTAAGCCACTTGTTAACAGCCACCTTTTCAAGAAACAAAACGTGAAAAAAATCGTTGGGTCATATTGATTAATTTTCTTGTAGAATACGGTGTGAAATGATTTTGAGCCTGTGTTACAGACCTTATTTCAGACATTAACCAGAAAACCCTTTGACTTAGGGGCCATGGAACTGGAAGTGCAAAACTGCTAACTCATTTCAAGGCTGTAGTACTCATTCCTGCAGCACTCTGTAAATCTGTCAAATTAAATATGGCATCTCTGACTAAAGTCTGGAACACCAACATTTGTCACAGCTTTGGTCATGAGACAGTATTTCTTCACTGTGGTCCTTCTATTTGCCACTTTAGTGTTTCTCCATATATCAGTGTCTAATCCTTCTGGAACAAATACTGCTGCAAAAACACCATGTTTGATTCTCATATGAAAACTGGCTAATATAGATTCATGAAGTTTTTCTTATACGTTTTGTGTTATCGCTTAAGATATGTTAAAACCATACTCATAGTGTGTAGTGTTGTGTTTAATTTTCTTGGTGTGTTACATTAATACATAAACTGAAAAAAGCCTCCACATTATACAGCTGCAGTCTGAGGGGATTTGTGCAGTTGACATGAAACCTCAAGGAGTGACAGCAGCGTCTAACAGTGTAATGTGCTATACATCTTCTGAAAACGAGTTTAAAGTTGGCATGAAATAGAAGTTCACCCTGTCTATTTACCACAACATTTTATTGCATTTACAGTTCCAGTTATAGGACAAATTATTAGACTGTAATTGTGTAAACGTATTTGTAAGAATTCAATTATCCCTGCTTTGTTATCTGGTCCAAAGCCATTAATCTAAACATTTGCCAACATTTCGCTGAGAAATGTTCTTAAGGACTTCAACCAAATTTTGTTCCTCTGAAGTACCAAAAGAATCATTAATGGAATAATTCAAGAACTGAGTCATGAGGAGAATTCTGAATTAGAATCATTAAATTCTTTATGACTGATTTCCATGCATGTAGCCATCCAGAAACCTATGCAGCTCTTATCAGGATATGTGACATAATAGTGATTTAATCACGTTTTTGAGTTACAAGATACTATCGGTGTTGTGATTGTAGCTAAACGTTATAAATGCTTCATACTTTGCTGCTCTTATTGACAGTAGACCTTTCATTATTTGGTTTAACCCACTTTTGCCATACTTGCATGCATACAAATATGAATATTTTTGTTTATTCATTTTATGTTCCAACTATTTGTTTTTGTCTATTTTTGTTTGTCCAAATGTTTTCAGTGTGGTCTCAAACAGTGATGGGTAGATTGCTTGCAAATTGTAGTCTGTTACTGTTATTGATTGTTATTGATTCATGACAAAAAATTTAATTAGTAACATTACACATTTTATGTAATCTAATCAGACTACTTGATTATATGAATGAATTTGTGCGTTTTAATGTGTTTGAAATACAAAATCCTTCCAAAGACAAAGGATTGTGCGAATAACGTAATCGTAATCAATAAAAAAGTAACTGTAGTCTGATTACGAGTATTTTAAAATATAATCTGATCACAAGTACTTAATTTTTGGAATAGGATTATGTAGTCCAAATTACATGTAATCAGTTACTAACAAGCACTGGTCTCAAACTTATAGACTGTAAGCTTCAAAGTTTATGGTCTCACTTTATATCGATTTTCACCTATAATCTATAATCATGTCCATTTACACCATGGAGTTCACTCTTAAAAATAAAGGTTCCAACCTTTATTATATGGTTTTCACAGCGATGCCATAGAAGAACCAGTTTTGGTTCCCCCAAGAACCTTTCAGTGAACAGTTCTTAAAAGAACCTTTTTTTTCTTATTGTGAAGAACATTTTTATAATCTAAAGAACCTTTTTTGCACTGTAAAGAACCTTTTGTGGAATGAAAAGTTTCCATGGATGGTAAAGGTTCTTTGTGGAACAATTGATGCCAATAAAGAACCTTTATTTTTAAGAGTGTTGTTAGGATGTATCTGAAATGGTTGGTTTAATGGCTTTTGTGCTTTAACGACTCTGACCATCAAGTTGGTGAGAATTTCCTGGCCACATGGGGCATTTGTTTACTGCCATTGAGTGTGTGTGTGTGTGTGTGTGTGTGTGTTGTGCACCAGCTCTTGAACTCCTGCCGTCCAATCAGCTTCATCCTGCACAGGCATCACTTCCTTCCCAATGGCTACTGCAGTCAATCTGTGTATTCATCAAAGTGTGTGTATCTGCAGTGGTCCTATCCGGATCCCCACTGCTAAAATCCCACCTCCCCCCGACTCGGTCCTCCCAGCTGACCCACCCATCCCCCCCTTCTCTCACACACCCGTGCCACATGAGGCCCTGCAGTGTGACTCAGTGGACAAACTTACACCAGTCTGAGAGTCTGGGTCAGGCTTTCCCAAGCCGCACACCTCATTTTGCCTGCGCAGGAGACACCAGTGGTTAGTCTTTCCCATTCTGTAATGTTAATAGCGCATTTGGTTGTTTTCTTGTGATTGCTCTTGCTGTAAGCCTGTCATTTCTTTACTCCTTCTTAAGTAGGGCTTCGTCATACTGCAGTGCAGCACTGTTAGAGCTCTCAGTGCGCGAGCGTACGTGCTACATGCTGAGTTTGTGGTTTTCGATTTGAGCGTGCTGGCCTTGAGCACTTGCTACAAGTATGTTGTTTCCTTATTAATGGCTACGGATGTGGTGAAGTTTGTGCTTAAGGGTGTTTGTTTGTGTAGAGGTGCTTGCAGTTTTTTTTTGTGCATGCGGGTGTAGCTGGAATTGTAACAGAGGTGTTGATGATACATGAACCTTTCATTATCAATGGCTACACAAATATCGTAAAGTTTGCTTTGCCAGACTTTGACCTCAGTTGTATTGAGTTTGTTTCTCTGTGGGTCTCTATGTACGTTTTAATGATTTTATTCTAATGAACTAAATAGCAATTAAAAGCTGTCTTTAGTAGCGTCTTTAGACACATGGTGTTTCACCCAATGGGTAGGCAACAATACAGAGCACTCAGCCTTTTACGAGTGGTCCTTATAATGTCTGGTTTATGTGTGTAATAGGCTTGATTGATGATCAGTTTTACCTTCTTTGTGATGAATGAGCTTAAAAGGTGAGTTCATGCAATGCAAGATCAGCATTCTTAAGGGGCTTTTATACTGACCGCTAATTGGAGCTACAAAGCATTCATTTTCAATGAGACTTCCCTATTTGAGTTCATATTTTTCAAATGTTCAGTGACTATCAGTGGAAAGCTGTAAGAATGTTTGCATCCATTATTATGGAGCGTTCATGTAATCAAGCTAGTATTGTTATTGTAATGTGTTTAAAAGTGTTAAATAATTGAGATAAAGCTGAAATGTGTGTATGTGTGTGTGTGTGTGTGTGTGTATATATATATATATATATGTATACTATTATAGTATATAGTTCATAGTAAAACTAACTGAAATAAGTTTTTTTCAGCCAATATATATATTGAAAATATATATATTGAAAATTTATCATTTTGTTTTTTAGAGTTTGAGTTGAAGTACTAAAACTGAAATAAAAAATTAAAGCTGAATAAAATATTGATAATAATAAAACAAATATGTAAAAAAAATATAAATAAACCACAAATTCACTATTAACTAATACTATAATAGTGTACAAATAATATTAAAATAACACTGAATCAAGCTACAGTATTTTGTCCAAGTGCATATGACAGAATTCACAATTACATTTTTTTTTGTGGCATTTTTATTTTGATAGGACAGTATAGCAGAGACAAGAAGCGAAGTAGGTGAGAGAGAGAGGGGGGCGGGATCGGGAAAGGTCCACGAGCCGGGACTCGAACTCGGGACGCCCAGAGCGCAACGGCACTATATGCATAAATACACAATTGCATATTTTAAAGGTTAAATACATGTGTGCATCCCCATCACACGTTCATATTGCATTTCATTTGAAATGTTTAACTTCCTGTTTAACTTCCTCTATTTTTCTTTTAGACATCCCTGCTATGGCAAATTCCCTGAAGGCAAATGTAACACTGAAGGCAGAGAAGGAGATCAGAGAGGAGAAAGCGGGAGCTAAAGAAATGGATGACACCTTGGATGAGCCTGCAGAGGAGGAAGAGGATGAAGAGGAGAGAAAGGCACGGGAGGCAGCAGCCAGAGAGAGAGCCGCTCAGAGGCAGCTCATGGCGATAGAGGAGCTGGTGCAGACAGAGAGGAACTACCTGAAACATCTGCAGCTCTGTACGGTCACCATCCACAACAACCTGCAGAAACTACAGGTAGACAAGTTCTCTAGCAGCCATTTTCAAACATTACATTGTTTTAAATTGCAGTAAAAGTCCTGATTTATCTGGTATGGTGACACGTGTTATTCTTAAGACCAACAGCTTTCTGTGTTTTACATGTATTGCATCTATCACCACTGAAATACCATTAAAGCACTCTGAAATAATTCTTATATTAATATAAACATTAACAATCTAATCAGATAATACAACAGTTAGTTCTGTTAAAGCTGTATTTAACACATGGCCTCTAAACTGAAAAATGCAATTAATTTTCAGCAAACCTGCCATGTGTATTTTTTTTTTTTTTTCAAATTAAATGTTCTTTTCATTTTAGAAACATTAACATCAAATAATTTGGTTCTTACATTACGTACAGGTCACAAATATTAACAGACATCATAAAAAACCAAGCAAACTTGTACTGTATATCAAACAATGTGCAAAAAGGTAGTATTTAAAGAAAATGACAAATAAAAAATAATGATGACAACAACATATTAAAAGAACAATCAAAAAAAAATGTAATATTATTATTTGAATCCATCTGAAAGGAATGAGAAATAAAACAGAAATAATGTTGTTGTTTTTTTTTATTATAATTATATTATTATTATTGAGTGTATACCTCATAAATGGGACTAAATGATTTAGCTTTGATAATATCATATTATTTGGGACTCTTGCAGCCTCCTCCCCCAAACCTGGAGAACATGTTTCAGCACATAGATGAAGTGATGGATGTTTCCAGCAGACTCCTGAGCTTCCTCGACCAGACACGGATACATCACAGCGACCCGAAATACCTGGAAACTCTCTGTGAGTACAGCCGGACAGGCTGGAATTTCTGGTTCACTTTCAGTTTACTTGTCACATTGTCCATGTGTCATGCCCACCCACAGGTCAAAATATTTTTACCTGTGAGCTCATGAGTGAAGAATCCAGAACTTGAATTTCAAGATGGGAATGATGATGTATAGAATGTTTCAATTTGTGTCCTTTTTAGAACTTGACAGTCTAAATAACCATACACTTACACTACTGTTCAGAAGTTTGGGGTTTGTAAGATTTAAAAAAAAAAAAAAAAAAGTTTTTGAAAGAAGTCTCTTATGCTCACTAAGGCTGCATTTATTTGAACAAAATACAGTAAAAACAGTAATATTTTGAAATATTATTAAAATATTTAAATAGATGGTTTCTATTTGAATATATTTTAAAATGTAATTTATTCCTGTGATCAAAGCTGAATTTTCAGCATCATTACTCCAGTCTTCAGTGTCACATGATCCTTCAGAAATCATTCTGATATGCTGATTTACTGCTCAATAAAAATGTATGATTGTTTTCAATGTTGAAAGCAGTTGTGCTGCTCAATTTGTTTTTCCCAAGATTTTTTTTAAAGGAATGACAACTTTAAAAGTTCAGAAGAACAACATTTATTTGAAATAAATTGTTTAACATTATAAATGTATTTATTGTTGCTTTTGATCAATTTAATGTGTCCTTGCTGAATAATAATAATTTTTTTAAACACTGACCTCAGACTTTTGAACAGCAGCGTATGTTGTTTAGAAAAGATGTAAATCTTGTTGTATATTATAAATTATCTTATTCTTTCTCAGGTGACACTTTTCTGAGTCTGTCTCAAGATATAGAGATGGCTTATAAAGAGTATCTTGCCAACTACAACAACATCACTGCTCTAGAGAACAGCTACAAACAGAAAGAGGCGCTGTGGGTGGAAATGATCCGAAGTGTCAAGTCCTCTGCGTAAGTTCATAAACAACAACTTACCAAGGTTGTGTATAAATTGAACACTGTGGAGAGCAAAATCAACACCATTGAGTGTGTTACCCAACAATCCTGTCGTTTTTTATCCCTAATCTTGTCTGTCTTCAGTCCTGATGTGAATGCATCCACTCTGAGCTTCTTCCTGGTGATGCCAGTTCAGAGGATCGCCCGTTACCCACTGCTGCTCCAGACCATCCAGAAACACACAGACCCCGGGCACCCTGCCTACCCAAAACTGGAGCACACCGCTCACACTGCGGTCCAGATCAACTGCAGGATCAATGAATATAAACGCTTCCGTGAAGTCGGTGAGAACATGCCTATCCATCAGCATAGAGACATGAATAAAGTTGAGGTGAGTCGATTTGCATCATTATTCTCGTTCTCTGACTGTCACAGCTGACAAATACAAGAAGACAGAGAACCTGACCATCAAGGACAAGATCAATCGGCTGAGTGGCCACAGCATTGCCAAGAAGACGGCCCGGTTCAGCCAGTACATAAAGCATGAGACAGGAATGGTGCCAAAGGTGACTGCCTAAGAACAATGCTTAGTGTAAACAAAGGAACAGAAATGTTTGGCATGTTGAAAGAACCACATTGATTCCACAAAGCCTCAGACACTATTGTTACATGAAATATTTGTACAATTATTTCTCAATTTATACTTTGTAATTCTATCCCATCATAGTTAAAGGATGAAGAATTTGATGCCCTTGCTGGCTTCTTCTTCGTCCTGGAGAGGGCCGTCTCAGAGCTTCATGATAACCTGGAGGCCTATCTCCACCATCTGCAGGTTTGGATTTAGCGTTCTTACTCTTAATGAGTATAGTTAAAAACTTAAATGAGAGGATCAGCTCTTTTTGTTTTGGTGTTCCCTCAGTGTGAAGCCAGTATGCCTGTGGATCAACCTCTTAAACATTTTCCATTGTTATTCCAGCTGCTTAATGAAAGGAAAATCTGTAGGAGGGTTGATCCCAGGGCAGATGGATGGGGTTACTGAAGATTGTGAGGTTCAGATGATGGTTGCGCACTTGAAGTGTTTGTAAAGATTTATTTAACCATCTGAGCTCTGTTTCTGTGTACAGAGGTTCCTCAGCTGCAGACCAGAGGAAGCAGATCTTGATCTGGAAGGAGAGAAAACCGCCTTGTTCTCCAAAGAAATCACAGTGGCGCTCAGACAGTGGATCTACCCCTCATATGTAAGACTTTAAGCAGATTGCAGTTCCCATCCTTTAGATATAATAACTATTGTTAGTGATAAAGATGCAGTTCCTTTGGCCGATTAAAGCTGCAGTAAGTGGTTTTCTGAGAAAGGCTGTTAAAAGTAGATCAGACCGAGCACCAAAACACACTTGTAGTCAATCACCAGTAAGAGGCGTGTCCACTGTTGATGGGGGAGGTGCCTGTGTTGCATAGCATGTTTGTGAATTTGGGGGCGGAGCTATCAAGGTGGGGGTGTGTTTGTTTTAGTGATAATAGCAGCGTTAATCAGAAATCGCTTACTGCAACTTTAAGTTTTCTTGGGAGAAACTTACACAAAGCCTCAGACACTATTGTTACATGAAATATTTGTACAATTATTTCTCAATTTATACTTTGTAATTCTATCCCATCATAGTTAAAGGATGAAGAATTTGATGCCCTTGCTGGCTTCTTCTTCGTCCTGGAGAGGGCCGTCTCAGAGCTTCATGATAACCTGGAGGCCTATCTCCACCATCTGCAGGTTTGGATTTAGCGTTCTTACTCTTAATGAGTATAGTTAAAAACTTAAATGAGAGGATCAGCTCTTTTTGTTTTGGTGTTCCCTCAGTGTGAAGCCAGTATGCCTGTGGATCAACCTCTTAAACATTTTCCATTGTTATTCCAGCTGCTTAATGAAAGGAAAATCTGTAGGAGGGTTGATCCCAGGGCAGATGGATGGGGTTACTGAAGATTGTGAGGTTCAGATGATGGTTGCGCACTTGAAGTGTTTGTAAAGATTTATTTAACCATCTGAGCTCTGTTTCTGTGTACAGAGGTTCCTCAGCTGCAGACCAGAGGAAGCAGATCTTGATCTGGAAGGAGAGAAAACCGCCTTGTTCTCCAAAGAAATCACAGTGGCGCTCAGACAGTGGATCTACCCCTCATATGTAAGACTTTAAGCAGATTGCAGTTCCCATCCTTTAGATATAATAACTATTGTTAGTGATAAAGATGCAGTTCCTTTGGCCGATTAAAGCTGCAGTAAGTGGTTTTCTGAGAAAGGCTGTTAAAAGTAGATCAGACCGAGCACCAAAACACACTTGTAGTCAATCACCAGTAAGAGGCGTGTCCACTGTTGATGGGGGAGGTGCCTGTGTTGCATAGCATGTTTGTGAATTTGGGGGCGGAGCTATCAAGGTGGGGGTGTGTTTGTTTTAGTGATAATAGCAGCGTTAATCAGAAATCGCTTACTGCAACTTTAAGTTTTCTTGGGAGAAACTTAAAAATTTCAGCTCCGGGCTTCACAGCTTTGCAGTAAAAATTAGTAAAAGACTTTAGTTATTTAATTTGGTGTGAATGAAACAAGCCTGTGAGTGATAGATTTACAATCGACTGTTGTTTCATCCGACAAGCCATTGCGCTCTCACGCCACACATCATGTTCTCACGCAGTGAAAAATACATCGCGAAGCAAAGAGGACACTGACAATGCGCTGACAGACAAGACAGAGCAGGTTACCTTTGGTATGAAATAAAGTCTCAGCTTTTTTTTTTAAGAAATTCAAACAATAAATACCATTTTGTGGCTCTTTAATGTGTGGTGACAGATCGCTGTAGCGCCTCACTTCAAGCGGCGGCACACAAACCTCTTCCTCTTTACTAGTTATAGCATGAAATAAACATGAATGAACATCAGAAGGTATCTTGTTTCAACCGCGGAAAGACATCAATACACGCCATTTTCAAGTTCAAGTCCACCGACTTTAATCTACTCTCCTGTCTGGTTTGTTTGTCGGACATAATGGCAGATTCACTGTTATGATTTGTCAGATCGCCTGTCAATCAAACTCCTGGCGAAGGGTAAATTAATTCTTCTTTTTTTTTTGTAATGTAATTTTGTAAAAAAAATTATTTTGTTGGCCAGCCTGGAAATTAGGATGACCCTGGTTCCCTAGACAAAAAGGCAATAGGATTTTCTTGTTGGTTTTTGGCTTATTGCAGAAAATAAGCTCTGTGACCAACAAACAATTATGATGCGTACATGTTTTGTTTATCAAAATAATCTTTACAAATAAACACAGCTTTTTTTGAAGTCCAAGTACAATTTTGAAATCTAACTACAATTGCTAGAAGTAAAAAGCTGAAGTTATGCTATAAACCAACTAAACTACCATCTCATGACTTTAAAGGCACAATATGTAAGATTTTTTTTATTAAAATATCCA